CTCACAGTCCACTACACCCAGCGGAAGAAATCGGCTGACCACCTAGCAAGCGCGCATTTCGTATGCAAGCGCAGCCGTGCAACGAAAATGACCTGCTGAAAGTTAAGACAGGCACGCGATCTCCCTCCCCCCCCCCCCCTTTCCCCCAAGTATTTATAACCCAACACCTCACGCTATCTTTGTACGCCTTCTAGCGGGCATCTCGAAATTCAAACACGCAGGTGTGCACGAAGGCAAATTCAGCGAGTCTTCTGCGGGGACCTCCACTTAACTTCGTTCCCCCTCTATACTGACAGTGCGAGTGCAGTGAGAAGCTGTGCACTCGCAGCACCAATCAACCGCCTCTCTTTGGTCACCTGACCTCGCTCTCTGAGCGTGGGTATGAAAGGGGGCATGATCACGCTGCGAAATATAAACGTGCGACTGGTCCAAAGAGTACGCGGCCTCCACCGCACGGTCAGCTTAGGAGTGAACGGAGTCAGGAAGATCATCTATGCAAACTAGGGCAACGCTCCTGGGGGACGAGCTAGACATGTTCTCTGGTTGTTGTTATTCTTTATTTCATTTTGGTTTTTTTGCCATCCTGATCTCTTGTCATTTCGTCCCGCGCACAATTTCTTTATTTATTTTCTTCTTTTTTGCCACTACTTTTCCCCAATACCGTTCCAAACCTAATTGTTTTCACGTCTTGTCACGTCAACAGGCCTTTCCTATGCCTCCCCAAACGCCGTGGGCTGCTGCCTTTTCAATCTAGGGGGTGGACTCCCTATATATTCCTCCCGCTTTCTCCTTTTATCGCTCCATTTTTTTTATTTTTTCCTTTCTGTTTCCCGAAGAGCGTTGCGTTCCGTGACTTCGGGCGTTCATCGCCCTCTGCGTTGCATGATTGACTAGGATGGGGCCCGACTCGGCCAAGCTGAGCCGGTTCGCGTGCTCTCCACCCCTTTCGTACGCCGTTCTTTCTCGCCATAGTCCACGTCACCCTAAGATGGACCGCATCGGACGCTACTAGCCACCCCACCCAATCCAATACCACGAGAGTGTCACGTGTTCTTCGGAGGGGGCGCGGCGATGCGCGGGGCACGTGCAGCGTAGTCTCGTTAATATGTGGACACCTCCCTCCCCCCAAATATCGTCCATAAAGCGTGTCGTCGCAATAGAGAGTTTTAGAATAGACACGAGCCCCAACGCACTGGGATAGCCCGAGCACCCTGTGGCGTCGCAATGGGCATGCGGAGAACATTTTGCGCACGCGCGATGCGATGCCCCGAGCTAACGAGACATCACTGCAGTCACGTGACGCGTTCGCAGTGCTGGATTGGCTGGAATGGCTCGTAGCGTCGGCTGCGGTCTATCGTCAAAGGTGAAACGGAGTGTGTTAGCTCCTTAGTTAACCCTTTCCCCTCGTCTCCCTTCGTCCCTTCTTATTTATGTTGTTTGTTCGTTTCCCTTTCGATAGCTAATTGTCTATTCTTTCCCTTCCGCTAACTCTTTCTTATCCTTCTTTTTTTTTATTTTACCACCTAGCTTCCCTCTTTTTTTTTTCTCTATTTTTTTTTTTCTTTTTGTTTACGGCACCCCACATTGGCCGTAAACAAGAAGGTCTTTACGATCCTCTTGCGGATCTTCCCCTGCGACACTTGGCCGTGCGTTGTCTGGACGGCGCCTTCACGGCCCTTTGGTAGGGCAATATAGTGACGCAATGTCGAGCGGATATTTCTGCATGTTGTTAATTCGCAGTCGCTGAACTCCTCCAGACGAAGCGAAGAAAAAACAAAAAAACGTTAAGGCGGAATATGTGCAAGACGCTTTATATAGGCGGCGCGGGAGAATCAACCCAATTAACTGAGCCGGCAGCGACCAATTACAGAAGTTTGCGCTTACACTAGCACCTCGATTGCTCGTTCTTTGTAATTGTTGTTTCCTGCGTCCGGCTCTGGCTTCTATACAGCACGCGTTTACGCATACGGAGGCGTTCGCAGTTGAAGCTGTGGCGGTTACTGCCCTAGACTTCTTCCGCGGTTGCGTAATTTAGTCTCCGGAAGTACCACGTGCGAGAAATGTAAAAAAAAACTTACAAGTTATAAGTTGACTAATCTGAAGGACGGAAGGGAACGTAATTAACGAGTCTCGGGGAATAAGGACTTTGAATCGGAATTATACCGATTTGCGTAGACGATGGAGAAACCCCGTCGAGCATGGCGGAACCCTTTCTGGGTTCTATAAAATGTTGAAACAGCCGTTGCTGCCTTTGCGATGGTGTTTTTGTTGCTGACTCATTTAAGAGTACAGTGGATAACTTAAACTGGGAAATAAAACGTAATTTGAATTGTAATTGGGAAATAAAACGAACACTTGGCAACGAACGAATCTGAATAAATTTCGCGTTCGTTTTACTCAGAGCAGCGAGGCACAGTCAATGCCTAAGAAACCTTGCCCTTACATCGAAAACAATTACAATCCCTACCTTATGTTGCGTGCAAGGTCGCATTCGACCCGCGTTCGCTGCGAAGTGACCCCCATCCTATTAGTCCTTCAAAATATTTAATATCCTCTTTTTTTTTCCGCATCCGCAAATTTTATAGCTGATACCCGCGGATAAATAATCCGGCGATATTCAGGTCTTATTATCGCGAAATGGGCTGGAGACGGCAAAAAGGGCGGCTTCGAACGCCGACTCACGCTGGGAACCGTGATCATGCGTGAACGCTTGATCCTAATACTTACAGAGTTGTTTGTTTTCGGTGTCCGTTTTCTTCCCCCAAAGATTCGGCGTTTTCCAATGTCTATTTTAGGCGTCCGACGAGAAACAAATTTGCGTTTATTGATGCTCGCGTAGAAAAAACAAAACAATGGGTGTGGTATTTCCCAGACCTCCGGGAAACGTGCGCGTGACCCGGATACTCGAAAAGTGTCCCGACACCAATAAAGGAAAAAGGAAACGGAACGAGGGATTTTTCCCGAATAAGGAAGCAGCATCGCGGACAGTTTAGTGCAGGCGGCGTTTCGGACGAACATTGTTCATATTCGCGCGAAGTAGTTCTCAGTAGATTTGGTTGTCGGAGGAAAAGGCGATGACCTTTAGGTCTTTGGCTTGAAACGTGTACGTCTTGGACCTTATTTCTCGAAATAAAGGGGGAAACCAGTATTGCTCCGCAAAAAGACTCACTCTTTCTTCTTTTTTTTTTTTCCCCCTTGCTGCGGTGTTTGAGGTGAAAACGAGCATGGGTGAAGATTTCTTCCTGGGAAGCGTGGGTGTTTCTCATTCTAAAGGAACTCCAAATCATGTTTGTTTGTGTTTATTTTTTTCCCAGTTTTGTTAACATTTGGACTCGGCTATTTTTTCTCGTTGTTTATATGTGTATAACGAAAACACGAAACACTCTAAGCACTATTTATGCCGGTGCCTGCGTACGACCGGACCATCCGATTCAAAATCCTGCCGCCTCAAAAGCGACATTTGAAAGAGAAAACGAAAAAATACGACGTTAACAAAACAAAACAAACAAAAAAATCGAATTAAAAAAAAAACTGTCGTCGACCTTTTCGATCGAACATTCCAAAAGGGAGGACCGGGAAAGGCCGACGCCCGCAAAACGACCACCCTCCATTTACTCGTGCCAGTCTAGCTAAGGTCAACAAATATAGCTTTTCTTTGTACGTCTATCCTTCTTTCGCTGTACCATCTTTCTCTTCGTATATACGCATCCTACACTTTCCAGCTAGATCCATAACTCGCCGAGAAATTAGAAAAGAGCAGGTGGGTAAACACCGGCGTGCACTTTGACGAAAAGAGAGCGCGGCTTTTGAGCTCTGCCTTTGAGTAAGATCGGTCCTATTTTTTCTATCTTTTCTTCGGTGGCCATGTTTTTTTATTCTTTTGTGGCAGGAATGAAAGCTCATTGTTCGAAATTTTCCCTGTTCAAACATCTAAAGTGCTGATAACGCCCCTAGCGGAAAAGGAAGAGGTATCTGCAGTAAAAAGCGGAGTATCGGAGGATACGGACTGCCAGCTCTCGCCACTACGAAGACCGTTATTTACAGCATCTGTCAAACTCGGGAGTGACACAAAAGAGCGGAGTGACTTTGCGTAGACAGCAGGTAGCTTTCATGCCTACACAGGGAAGTTTACTCAGTGCACGTTGTGATTACTACGATGAAGTGTTTAACCCGGGCTCAAGCTGCCGTAATACATAAAGATCAGTGGGAATATCACTCGCGCAAACTGCATTGTTCAAATTATTTATTACCCGCCTACGCGGCCTCGATGATGAGCATCGGCATGACGCCCGCGTTCTGTTCCGAACTGACTTCATGATTTTCTGTAGACGCATGACTAAAATTGATCACCCAAAATATATTATTCAGAAGAGTGAATGAGGTGCACTACGTGGTGTGAGGTGCAGCATATAACACTGTATTCCGAACTGACCGCCAGCAATAAAAATGCATAGTAATAGAGAGAGAGAAAAAAAAAACAGGGATTCTGAAGTAACCTGAATGATGGAATGATAATAACTTCAATTAATTTTGTTCTTTTATATATATTAAAGAAGAAACGTGGCGAGTATTTGTTTTTTCTTTCACATTTAATAAAATGTAAAAATTTATTACGCTCTTTATTTTTTTTTTTGGGGGGGGGGGAGGGGAGGGAGGAGAGGGGGGGGGGGGTAGTCTTGGGAAACCCGCACCAAAGGCTTTAAAGGGCCAGAACTTTTATCAGTAGGTGAGTAGTCGTACGAATTCCGAACTCCTAAGTGCTCAAGCACCTTGCGAACATTTTGATCTTCATTATCAAGCTTACAGATATTCCTTCATATCTTCACTCCACTATATCACTTGGAGAATATAGCTAAAATAAGACAAAAAAAAGTCAGCGAAATTGTGCAAATTATATCAGTAGAAAACAGCATGCATGCGGGTCAGAACAAAGCAGACACCCATCTGACAGTTCTTCCTGTCGGCTCATACCTGTTCTTGTCTTTTCCGCACTTCCGCAGCCGCAAAGGCAAGCACTCTAAGAAGCAGCAAGAGGAGGCCCGCATGTCTGAATACCAGCAGCAGCGCGAGCAGGAACTGCCGCAGCAGGACCAGGAGGCTGCAGCGCCAGAATCCAAGTCCTACCCCAAGGACAGCAAGAAACAGTTCAAGGTGTGATTCCAGACGGGGAGACAGCGCTCACACGCCGCATCAGGCTTCATTGATCAATTACATGCGCATAACTGCGCTCAGTGCATTTTGCATTCTCGTACTCCCATGGTGCCATAGTGCACACGTGATGTGACCGTGCCTTTTATACGCTTTTTGCGTAGAACTAGACCGAAGGTGTTGCAGTATTGGCGTGCTTAAATCTGTGCACTACCTATGACTAATTGTCGCTTACAACTTTGATAGGATTATTGAAAGTCTTCAGTGAAAGAATGATGCGTAAACATTTAGGAAATTACGCCGATCGGAAGTGTTTCGGGATTTCTCGATAGATGGCATCAGTGTGTTATTTCGTCGTAAGCGTCCATAAGCTGAGCCAACGCAGTCGACCACACTCAAGCGCAAATGCACTTCCGCAGCCTTTATTTCTAACTATTGGGACTCGGCTGTTCTATTGCGTTTTATCCAAGTCTGTCTGCCAACAGATGAGAGCCAACGTCTGTCGTTTGTTGGTCGGCAGAGGTAGTCCCGCCGTCGCACCGGTTTGAATTCAACACACCAAAGTGGTCATGTTCATCTTTTAGCAGACAATTGTATATATCTCCTTCCGAGTTGCACGTTTCAACATTTTGTATCCTTCCTTGTAAATCTTTCTTATATGCGCTCGATTACACCGCATGGTTCCGACTCCCGACCATACACACCCGCGTCCAGGGGTAAATTACGCTACTTTCATTTCATCAATCTACGCAATCGATTCGGGGAAAAACACAAATATTCGCCGTGCGCGGACGTGGATTGTCTCGCAGTCCAAGCAAGGCTACAAGGACGCTGCGGCCCAGGAAAAGCAGGCTGTCTACGAGGGCAAAAAGGGTGGCAAGGACTACAAGCAGCAGAAGCAGCAGGGCAAGCCATCAAAGAACCAAGTTCCCGTACAAGAGGTAAACTATTGCAACGCTATTGCAACATTCAAAACTTGATGTATGACGTAAGGCCATGGGCAAATAAATAACATCAGTTGTTCCCAAAGTGCACCTAATGAAGACAGTTAGGGACGAAGAGAACAACGCGCGCGGTATTTTCAAGTTAACGCGGTACGTGGACGTGAACAATATACGATGCGTATTTAGCATATACTTATCTTTTTAAACCGTAAATAATAAAAAAAAGATTCATGTCCCAAAGATATGTTTCAACATGAATACATGCTTTTGTTGCATGACGAACCTGGTTTCACTTATTAATGGCCGTCTACGTTTATAGTTTATTTTTACAAACAAAGAAGCCGTACTAAGGCATTGCGATAAATGTGTGTTCAGTGTAAGCAAACTGCCTAAATTATGTTTTCGCGAAGAAAAAAGAAAAAAAAGAAGAGAAGAGAAACGCGACTGGCAATTGTCTGAAATCCGTCGTTACAGCTTACCTGATGACCATGTGCCGAAGGTATCATGTGAAAGCTATACGACGTGCAAGTTTGTCCGCTCGTTGGGCGCACCTTGTGCGTTTGTTTGTCCTCAAAAGCGCCCACGTGTGTTCTCTACGCTGCCCTTTCATTGGCGTGTCCCTCTTTGGCGTTCTGATGCGCCAAAGACGCGTCTTAGGTCACTTGCTCGCCGTATACAGTCGCTATCAGTTTGAGAAACACGGGGAGTGGCGAGTCCGGACCATCCCATTACAATAAAATGCTTAGATGAGCCAGTTGGTACATCATGGGAAATAAGTGCCGAAGGAACACGGACCAAGAGTAGAATAACAACGACACAGGGCGCACTCTCAACTGAATTTATTAGGAAAGAACGAACAAAATTATATACCAACGGGAGCACACCATCAGACGTAACACGTCACGTTAGTCTCCGCCCAGCCCATGTTTTAAATATTCAAACTCATCCGTACATAGAGCCAGAGAATTATCGCTAATGCATTTTTCACCCCTCCTAATCCCAAATGCATCATAAAGCTCGCGTGACACTTCGTTTTTGTACGTTGCCAAAATTCTAGTGCTCTCAAATGGCGGGGCGCAAGAGCACCTGCTGCAATGTACAGTCGGCACGGAATGAAACGCGAACAAGGAGCGCATGGTTTTCGACCCACGCTGAGTCACCTAGAGACGCAACACCGAAGGTTTGGATGGTCTAACACATGGAAGGAGAAGCCATCTTCTTGCAGCTCCCATCTGGTTCAGGTGGTGCAGCATCTAGCGAAAACCATGCACCCACTGTTCGCGCTTCATTCCGTGCCGACTGTACAATCAGTGTATCTATTCCTATGCTTGGGATTGCACGGGTCTATTAACGGCTGGGGGTCATTGATTCTCCTGCATAATGGCGACATTTTGTTAGGCGCAGACCGGGACATCGTAATGCCCGGTCACCTTCTTAAGATTATGTGAGACACCGTGCATATATGAGATCACCACAGGCCGAATGTTTCTCTTTTCGCGCAATGGTTTCGGCGTCCCCTTGAACTTCTTTATCAAGTTAACAGCCACTTTGACCAAGGAGCTCGTTGGGAAACCTTCTTGTTTTTCTTCTTTTTTTTCTTTTGTGTTAGACAAGTAGATCGTCTGCAAAAAGGTGGTTTCCCAAAGAGCTCTTCGGTCGAAGTGACGGGAACTTGATAAAGAAGTTTAATGGGACGCAGAAACCATCGCGCGAAAAGAGGAGCAATCGGCCTGGGGTGATCCCATATATGCACGGTGTCCCGGTCGTGTTTTCAGCGCCTAACAAAATGTCGCGATTATGCAGGAGAATCAATGACCCTCAACCGACAACAGAGCCCTGCAATACCAAGCATAGGAATAGATACACTGATTGCACAACCGGCGTCATTTATGAAATCAAAATGACGTGTATTTTAAGCTATGTATAGGCAAACTCGAAGATGTGTCAATGATCGGGTCCGCGAGCACGCCGCTTCAACTAGAACCACACCGTCAGGGCATTTGGCTGTACATTGCAGCACATGTTCTTGGGCCCCGTCATTGGAGAGCACTAGAATTTTGGCAACGTACAAAAACGAAGTGTCACGCGAGCTTCATGAGGCATTTGAGATTAGGAGTAGGGGTGAAAAATGCATCAGCGATACTTCTCTGGCTCTATGTACGGATGAGTTTGAATAGTTTAAAACGCGGGCTGGGCGGGGACTGACGTGACGTGTTACGTCTGATGGTGTGCTCCCGTTGGTATATAAGTTTGTTCGTTCATTCCTCATAAATTCAGTTGAAAGTGCGCCCTGTGCCGTTGTTATTCTACTCTTGGTCCGTGTTCCCTCGGCGCTTGTTTCCAATCTCTTACGTCTCTGCAGCCAATCAGGTTGCGGCATCAGCCGATAAGAACGTCAAAGGGCCAATCATGAAGCGAGAATTGCGTGAGCATAATAAGATGCGCATTGCGTTTCTCGAACTGCCGGCGACTACACCGTTCCCACAAACATGTCTGCCGCGCGTAACAAAGGTGGCGGTAAACACCCGTCATTAACGGCGACGGAAGCGACTTTACATTGCCGAATGTTTTCGCGCGTCTCTTCAGCAGAAGCAGTCCAAGTACCAGGGCAAGAACGCCAAGACCGAGAAGGCGGCCAAGAATGAACCTCGCGAGGAGACCCGACAGCACCTAGAGAATCTGGAGGAACCCCAGAAGCAGGCCGTCAAAGAAAAGGCAAAGCAGCAGCAGCAGCAGCAGCCTCAGGAACCCAAAGACATGTGCAGCGAAAGCAAGCCATCTCCGAGTCCGTCTGGCTCCAAGTGCCCGATGGGTAAGCAAAACAGCGTCCACCGGAGAGAGTCAGTCTATTGGACGCCGCTCCCGCGATGCATCGAGGGCCGCGCGGTCACACTGCCCATACGTCACACAAGGGACGGCCTGGGGATGCACTGTCTGGGGCGTGTTTCTGCTTTATATAGCGGTCACACAGGTCATACAAGAACTCTCTGCAGACACGTCCGAAGCGTACATGTGTACAGCGTGGGCGAAATGAATTGAACAAACTTTAAACTGACCGCATAAGTTAATTTATCGCGCTAGGATCTACTACAGAAGTGCCTGAAGTTAGTGGAAGCTTTCGCTGAAATTGAGGAAAGATTGGCTCACCCGAGTAAACAAAGAAAAATCAAAAATGTGGTTCTCCCTATGCTTTGCGTGTGCACTAAAGCAAAATATTGTGTTACTGTGGCGCTTCTTTGGGCCAAATTAAGTAAAAAAAATAGGTAAGCTATTTCTGTTTTTTGTTGTTTTTTTTTTCCCGAATTTTTTAATTGTAGTAAACGTCAGAGTAGCCCACGACGATTTTCTGATAATTTTGAGATAAAAGGTTTAGTGATAATTTTTCCATACACAAAAGCAGGTTTTATTTTCTTTCTTTCGACTCCGGAGATTTCACGTATTCATACTCTCAATTAATGACTGCAGCGGCTTCGAGCACCTCTGTAGTAAGTTCCAGCCCGATAAGTTAAGAAACCGCTTTATGTGGTCAGTTTAAAGTGAGGTCAATCAATTTCGCCCACTCTGCATACGAAGCAAACATGCTTGGAACAGGTGTGAATGCAGATAATTACGTCATCGTGTGTGCAGCGAGCACCGTGTCTTTTGCACGATGCACGAGAAGTGAACTGCGCTTAAAGTCTCTCTGCACTCGTGACAACCTCGCTGTAGCTCTGCCTCTAGTAGACTATAAAGTTACGGCGGCGTCACGCATGCGCCGAATGCTCAGACAGATTGGCATCAACGAGATCCGGGATGAAATTAAAACACAAATTACTCCGAGTATTCTATATATCTGTTGCGGAGCGTGCTTGCTTACATTGCCGCTTCTACCGTGACTATCAGTGATTAAAACCAGGACGAAATCTGGGCCGGCTTGCTAGAAGACCGCCTCAGCTGAGATTGGGTGAAAGGAAGCACTGAGAAGGCATGGGCCGCGCGAGTGTCTTTGAGACGCGCGGTTTGAGTCCCGCTCAGCTCGTGCGCTGGCCTTGGCGGTGCTCTCTTTCCACTAGTCTCGGCTGAGACGCTGTTTCTAGCAAGCCGGCTCCATGGTCTTCTATTCATTATGGACAAACCTGATGTTCGCGGTAGTATAGGTGGACAAGAGTTAGCCCTCAGCCCCTTGGGACCACAGAGTTACTATAATGTACGCTAGAGGTTCAAATGGCACAAGTGTGCTGTGACAAATTGAAGCCGACAGTAACCAGTCGAAAATTGGTTTACGGCAATGCATTTGTAAGGGAAGAAGTGAGTGCACTTTCTCCTCCCGCTCGATTATAAGAGGAAATATCCCGAATAATTCGCAGGTACTATGTAGCTTGGAACATTTCTCAGTCAGACATACAAAATAATTGGTCAGTTAGGCGTTTTTCTTTCGAAATCATTGCATTGAAAACGGTGCTAAATCGGCCTCGTACATGTAGCTATGTGCACTGCCGGGCACTACTAGTGCGAACACGACGTCGGCGTCGTGTTCGCACAGGACATCTGGAAAACTAAGAAAGACGGCAAGAACTACGCATTAGCACTGGATCAGTAACTCCATGTGCAAGTACTGTACGACCAAAATACATTGAAGACTACGTAATATAGTCTGATTTTCAATATGTAAGTACTGCTTTATCCTTTCTGCTCTGGGATGATGCTGGTTCTACGTTCAAAACATCAACCGCACGCTCGAATCTTTGAGGAAAAGTGCCGCACAAAAGCTGCCCGGCATAGAAAACAATAAAAATAGTCACCCTCCATAGCCCACGTAAACTTCATTCTTTACGTTTCGAATGTTCCTAACCGCCCGTAAAGATGCAAGACGGGATCATTTTCATATAGTGATAGGACTGGCATATTAGCAATATTTAAGCGTCACCGGAAAGCTGGCGAGCCTTGAACACACTCTATATTCCTTTCGATAGTTATTGTGTTTAAAATCGACGCTCGGTTTTGCACACCTGCTGTGGAACAGAGGTATGAACATGAAATATAGCGAAGTTAAACATTGTTCACTCATGAAGAAAAATGCGCGAACTGAAGCAATTACACTTTTACAATGTTAATAAAGGGACATACTATTCGGTATGCCCCGAATAACCAAAGTGTTCCATGTTATTTTCCGGCGAAGAGACAAAATTCACGCGCGCTTTCCCATAGAAATGCACAGGAGCACCGCAAAGGTAGACTAGATGCTGTCGGCTTCCAATTTGCCTCCCGGAATTCGCATAGACACTATCGCCAGTTGAACCGTTAGCGTACATTATAATAACTTTGTGCTAAGTACCGCTTGTTTTTTTTTTTTTTAGCGGAAAATACGTATTTAGAGCGAACAACGAAAACACTATTAATTGAGAAAAAAATAAATAATATAAGTGAATAAAAAATAGCTGAAAAAAATAGCGTGAGCAGAAAATAGCAAACTTATATAGTCAAGCAAATAATCAAAGTTTTACATACATGGAAACGCCCCACATACACTACCTGCAGCGGGGAGCGATTTTATGCATTGGCAATCTTTCGTGAATGAAACCAGGTTTGTATGTATCAAAGGGTAAATATGATCGATCTATTTTCCGAAACGCCCAGCGTCTCGCGTGCCATCGCGGCATCGCCATTCTCCGTTTCCTCTGGGAACGGAGAATGGCACACAAGTCCCCTTTCAGGCATCACTCACGGAGAATAAAACGCGTGGAAAACTTCAGAACGTGCGTCGCTTGCAAAAAAAACTTAACTTTTTGTTTATTTTTTTTTTTTTAATCTTTTTATGCCGATGGGATTTTTACGTAGCTATTCACCGAGGAATACAATCAACGACAATGCAAAGGGAACAAGCCGTATCTTCAAAAAAATCTGTCGTTGGTCGTGTTTTTTTTTTTTTATCGTAAAAAAGGGGGGAGTATATAGATGAAATCGCACAAAGATGGCTATCATAAAGCCAGTAAAATAGAGAGAAAGAGAAAAAAAGAACGGGAGCGCAAGGCGTAAGTTTGCTTAGTGCTAGGCTTTTCTTTTTCTTTGTTACGCGTTTTCGTAAACCTTAACGCTTGGGCGTCCAAACCAATCTTAGGAAGGAACTATACTTCGTCTCACTTTAGCATTTGACTATTGTTAGCCGCGCATTCTGAAAGCGCGAGCTATATTGCTTTGCATGAAGCCTCGGCGGCTACACGAGCGCTCGTGCAGCGAGTGCTCTCCAGTCAAGGCAGTCAATGCTAGGGTACCTTCATGTGCATTGAGGCACTCTATAGTCAATGCTATCCGCTCACGCTTCGCAGTTAGTCCATGCTAAGCCATTTGAGACGATCAACCAGGCGGCAAATTCCGTGACAAAGCGTCATTTTGCTAGCTTTATTGTAGCGGGCGTAAAACCAACAACAACACAGTTCAAACAAAAGAAACGCCGACCAAGAGCGGCACAACAGCCGAGGCAGCCACCCTGTGACAGCGTAAGAACAGCAGTGCCCGCCATGCGTTCTTTAGCTGTCATTACAGACCCGTACGATACTCATTACAAGTAATCAAACTACTTGTAATGATCACTTTTTGAGTAATTTTGTAATTATTTTAATATGCTCAGTAGAAAATAATCGCTAGAGTAATCTGATTTCTTTTGAAAGTAATAAAATTACTTGTAAGTGTTACTATTTTTTCCCTCCCCTTCCTAATAGCACCCTTTGTTTTGTACGGGTTTCCTGCCCAGAAATCCTCGAACCAAGTCTCCGAGAGGAGAATGATTCATTAAAATAAGTGTATTGAGAAGAAAAGTAGTTTATAGTTCGGTTATTCTAATCAAACAACGAACAAAAAAAAATCAGTTTGCGAAAAGAAAAAAAAAGAAGAAATCTATCGTTTTGAAAATCTGTAGTAATCGGAGATATAACAGTTACTGATTTTTTTTTTTTTTTTTCAAAATACGGTTAATTATTTTTTTAGTCAACTAGCCAAGTGTTCTAATTGAGCTTTTTTTTTTACCTCGGAGTAATTGTAACTGTAATCGATTACTTCTTTTTCGAGAAACGTGTGCAATACCGGCTGTCAATGGCTAAAGCTGCCAGGAGTTTGTTGGGTGACGACGGTCCTAAACGAAAGGTCTTGCTCTCGAGTCCTCGCCACGAGGAAGAAGTCTCTCTGAAGACCTTTCACAGATGTGCTCCTGCGGATATACGGACGTTCATTAGTTGACACCTTTCCTCAAACAAAGCGCTTTTTTTTTAATACGTTTTGCTTCTAATGTTTCCGAATCTTCGTATTGACCCTTTATCTGAGCGTGTCCACATTGTCTTAAAGAGAGAGATCTCAAACAGCTGTTCACAGCTTCTCCTCTTTTACTTTTCCTAATGACGCGAAAATAGGCTGCAGAAGCGAATCCAGTCTGTGTACGTGAGTTATACTGCCAAGGGGGCATAACATAGGGGGATAATCATTCATCACGATGACTCAAAATAGTAGCTAGATTCGTTCATTAACTTTTTAATTAGTGATAATAAACGCAGGGTTCCAGTTAGAAACTTGCTGAGCGTAATCGAAAACCACTAAATCAGTAACCTTTAGAAAGACTTTAAAGGTCCGCTCATACACTTGCGACTTCTTAGAACCGAGTTCCTTGAAACCTCTTAAAATCTCCTACGACGAGAGATGCACTGGCACCACCTATCGGGTAGCAATGAAACACTGGGCGGTCCCGTATATTTTCAATTTCTTTCGCGCATCATTGTTTCTTTCTTTGGTCGAAAAACTTTTGACAATGTTATAAAAGAACATTTCCCATAAATATAACGGACAACTGACCTCGCAAAGACCGCCAAACCTTCGTTCTAGTGAAATGCAATTCCGGGGTCACCGCATAGGCGGCGCCAGCGTGTCAGTGTCTTTTCCCGTCGTAAGGTTTTAAGGCGCTCGGTTCTAAGGAGTCACAGGTGTGTGAACGAGCCTTAAGCGTGTGGGAAGAGCAGCAGTGCGCTAAAGTTACCACTGGTGCAACCGGCACGAGGCTGACCCTGAGAAAATGCGGATGATAAGAGAAGGAAACACCGCGGCGCGGGCGCCTTATCGCACCGATAGCCTGCTGCACGATTGGTAACTTTAACGCTCCGCCGTGCTTCCCACGTGCACGAAGCAGTTTTAAAACACTGATTTTGTTGTTCTTGATGACGCTGAGCAAGTTTCTCATTGAAACTATACGTTCATTTTCACTAATTAAAATTTTAATGCACCTATAAGAGTTAATTACCCGTCTCATTGTGGCGATTCGCCCCTATATTGTGTCCCCCTGAGCGTTTAACCCACCAGTAAAAATCGCATTAATGTAGCTTTCACTGTTTTTTTGTTTTTTTTCAACAAATTTGTAAATTCTGAAAAGGAAGAACACCCTGTGTACCGAATTTCTCAGTGTCTAGGAACTTTCAGGTTTTCGCGTTTCGAACCATTGAAGACCAGAGGAAGAAGTTAGGGCCCCTGAGAATATTTAACCTGTGAATAATATTTTATTACACGTGGCTCGCTCGTATAAATTTGACGAACGCCGAGGACCGGGACAAGAACATGTAATATATACATATCCGTGTATACGGTCACCTGCCTCCTAGGTTGTGGTCCTTTATTGTACGATCAAACACCTCGATCGTGCACCAATGCTTATTTTTTTAGAGCGCAGCTCCTAGGCGCCCATTTCCGCCTTGAGCGGCGTCGTCGGCGTAATCGCGCGGTGCATGATGGGCAAATTTCCCCGCTAAATTTAGTGGGAAAATTTCACCCCTAAATATAGCGGATAATTTTCCCCGCTAAATTTAGTGGAAAAAATTCCCCGCTAAATTCAGCGGAAAATTATCTCCGCTAAATTCAGCTAAAAACATTCCCCGCTAAATTTAGCAGAAAAAATTTCCCGCTAAGTTTAGCGGACAACACTCCCCGCCATATCTAGCGGAAAAATTTCCCCGCCAAATTTAGCGGAAACTTTCCCCGCCAAAATTAGCGGACAAAATTACCCACTACATCTAGCGGAAAATTTTGCGCGCTAAATTTAGCGGGGAATTTTTTCCGCTAAATTTAGCGGAAATTTTTCTCCTTAATGGGGGAGAGCAGGAGAGTAGGAGGGGCATAGCCCCCTCTCCGTACCTTCCCCTCCTCCTCAAGAGCTGCGCTCTAATTCGGCGTTACAGGGAGTTGTAAACGGCTTTTATTTTTTTAATGCAGGAAAACACAGTACGAGCTACGATTATCGGCGACATACTTGCTTATGTCGTGGTTTCTTAATGGCCCGGAAGTGGCTATTGCTATAGATTTGTCCTTTGTCAACCTTGTTCCCTTTCTCCAGCGATCATTTTTCGTCATTCTTGTCCAGCTCGCTTGCATTAACTGAGTTATCATCATGGCTATAGCTGTCGGTTTCTCAAGCCTCGGTTATAATACAAACGACAGTGTGCAGACACTGTCTGACGCGTATTTCTATGACGGTCCTCCCATTGGTCATACAAAAACCATCTGCAGAGATGTCCGAAGCCTGTGTGAAGCAAACGTGCTTCGGTCATCATGTCGGCAGATAATTATGTCATTTTATCGGCAGCGAACGCCGCGTCCTTCGTATAACGTATGCACAGGGGGAGAAATCCGCGGAGGGATGCGCGTGACGTCGACAGCGGACACAATTCCTTTCTCAGCTTCCTCGTTTACGTCACAAAGCCGCATCGCAAATACACTGAGGTTTTCGTCGCGTAATGCGCGCAAGGGCGAGCAATCCCCGGGATTTCTCCCTCGTGTGAATACCGCCTAAATGTCTCCTCACTCGTACTCCTTTTTTTCCCCAACAGCGGCCACCGCCCAGGCAGCCGCAGCACCACCGGCGCCAGGCGCGGGCGGCGCCCTTCTGGGCTGCCCCGTGGCCAAGACGTCGATGGGACACGGCTGCGCCCAGTCGTGCGCCTGTCCCGACACAGCGGTGTGCTTCGCCGCAAACGGCAACGTCCGTGGCGTCTGCAAGCTGCCCGAACCGGATGACCTCACGCACGGGTCCTACCTCCCGTGAACTGCCGGGACAAGAGTTCAAGTCTTCCACGACGACGCGCACGCTCCGCACCACCTCCCAGTTCGTTATAGACCCGCTCGCAGCCTCGACGTCATAGTTCTCCAATGGCGCTACGGTTGCCTGTCCACGTGACCAGCGTGGGCACTGCACATGCGCTGAAACGAGGCGTCTCGTTCTCGAGGCGTCGTCTGCGCATGATCAGTGCCCACTAATTGCTGGGTCCCTATCCCACCTGTTGCTATATAGCCGTCACGTTGTCTCCGAAGACAGCTAACCCTCGTTTAACCGGTGCCATCTTGGCGATCTCTTGCCAGGGTTGAGAGGTCGACCAAGCGTGTGTCCACGAGAGTCGATTCAAGAACTGTTGTCACCTTGGACGAATTAGATTATGTAATTCGCCATGTCTGTAAATCTGAAGGGACGATTGTTCGGCAGTTGGAGTTCTGCACACGCCGGATTTTAAGTAGAGACGCACGGCGGCCTCCGGCTCAGCGAAAGTTGGCTGTTTTCGCTCTCGATCGATCTTCCTATCATAGTTTGCTTTCCGTGCAGAAACGCGTACGCAGTGTAGCCGGGCGTTGACCGACGCAGTGTCTTTTGTATCATAGACCGAATCGCACGTGTTTCTTTTATCCGTTTGATCGTACACGTTTTCTTTTGAAGCCAAGTGTATATATTGTTTGTATGAATCAATAAAAGCAAACGTTGTTGTAACATCTGGAGTATTTCACATTTTGGTGGGGAAAGCATATAAAAGGCCTGTTCGCGTAAAATAAAGCATGAAGAAGAGGAAGAGTAATTCACGCCTAGCTCTTCCCCTCCGTATGTCATAGGATTTGATATTTCTTCTCACCATGCATGACCAAGTTCTATGACAAATCCGGATGGGACTTATAAAATGCAGCACAGGGGGAAGAGCCTGCGTCCCGACTCTCGCGCAACTATACTCTGTTTCACGATACCTTGGCGAACTCTAAAGGCTGGGAACTCCGGGACCCAGTAACAGCGTCGCAGCAAGGTACCTGACAACATTCCATGGTCGACACAAACGCTCCCGTGACGTGGTGTCCTGTGCCTCGGTCCGACGTTCTTATTGGGTCGCGGGAGTCCCTCACAGTTCGCCAAGTTATCGTGAAACGGAGTGTAGCGATCGATGTTATTGAAGTGCGAACAATAGATTCAAGATTTCACAAGTGCTAGTCGCAGATCTGAACTTACCTGCTTTCGTAGTGCCGATTGTAAACACTTCATAAAGTGAGTTAATGCATGGTACGAAACGCAGGATCGATTGCACGATATCCTAGTAAAGGATAGAAAACGAGCATCAATGAGTGTAAAATATGAAATACACGATTGCATCTACTCTTGTAGTATTTTTTAACATTGCAGCTCATTCCTATTAACCCAAAGAAGGGAGCCAGGGCGTGGAGACTTCCAATAATTGAACTTCCCCTTAAACTGCACTGATATGTGATAAAAACTGTTATAACCTTAGTGGTATTGCCAAAATAATAAGACAAATGTCTTCTATCGGTACTCTGGACTTGGCTCACTATCACATATGAGAGATCCAAGTTTATTACCTCTACACAGACAATAAACTAGGAGACACAAGGGAACCAAATGCGATAAACGTGAAATGCAGCCTCACGACTCGTCAAACAACGCGACAAGAACAAAGGTATTCAAGCTCCTATCAGCATTCGCGAGTAATGGAACGATAGCGAAAGTTTTGAACTAAAACTTCTACAACCAATGATCTTGTACCTTAAAAACAGAGGGGACAAATCCAGCATCTAGTATAGTGAAAACCTATGTATTCAAATTTTTCGAAGTCACCACAGTGAGATCAAACGAGGACACAGATTTGGCCCGAGTGCTGCGTCAGCGTTTAATTGGACCTCAGTGGTTTTGGACAAACGCATGGTGTGACTTACGAACCTTCGGAGTTTCCCGCATTCTCATTGTGATGGTGTTTTACAGGGAGCCGTCTCTTGAATAGTTCTTAGCTCTAAGCTCTTTATAGAGAATTGTGTAACTAGGGGCGCTGGCACGCACTTGGTACAAAGAGAACAAAATATATATGACGGCAAAAGATAGAAAGCAAGGAACGAGTAGCCCTTCGACAGGTTGCCCTTTCGACGAGTTTTCCTTTCAGCACATTGACGTACGACGAGTTGGCCTTCGATACGAACTGACCGAAGCCGCTTAGAGGGGTACTCCGGCCGTTTTGTTAAACTACCCAAACACATTGCATTTTCTGAATACCCGGACTTTAGCCTGTACTGTACGTCTCGAAATTCAAAATAGCAATAGACCGATCTCACCAAGCGTTCGACGCATGCGTGACGCCGCCATAGCTTTAGTTCACAAGAGGCAAACGGCATTGCACGAGAGGGCTCGTGACGTCTTGTGCTTGACACGCGCAGAGCTCCAATGAGGTTGTCGCACGTGCAGAAAGACTAAAGTTCCCTTGATGCACTGCGGCAGCGGTGGCGTAGTCAAACTGGCTGGCGAGATCGGTCTATTGAGGCAAGAAAACAGCCAAATGAATATGATGCCGAAACCAACGTTCAAATTTCCGCGCGCTCTTCAGTGGTGTGACGTCACAAATGGTACGGACTTTTATGATGATAATGCAATAATGCAATGCTTCAAGCGAGCTAGGGGGACCTTTGTGGAAAGGAACAAGGGGGACCTTTGTCCCTTTTGTTCCCCTTCTCCGGGGATTATTATCGTCAGTCTTTCAAGTTGCGCAGGTAGTCTTTTAAAGAAGCTGTGCAACGATTTTAACGTTGAGAGAATTGGCATCTTCTACTTTTGACGTTGTTTATCTTGTCACAAAGGAAAGAAAACACACTTCCTTCCTTCGAAATGTTGATTCCGCCGCGTAATCGCGAGGCAAAAATTGGAATATTCTCCGACCTTCAGCCGCGAGCTGCGGCATGAGAACCACGCGGCATGACGTCAATGGGGCTCTTGTATGAGGATAGCAAGTTGTGCTAATGCCTGCTCGATAAAAGGTACCTTTTTTATAAATCTTGTCGTTCTAACATAAATATAAATGCGTCAAAAACCTGGTGTGATCGACCAAACTTTTATTATACGGAGTTTTAGCGGCGCCATCTATCCGAAGTCAACAAAACAGTCAGCTCTATCTGCTACCGCGAACAGCCGCCAGATGCCGGAGGGCAAAGTTCAAAGCCAGAGCCATACTGCTCTGGGCGAAGCTAATTTATAATAACGTTGGCCCGGAGGGGGATGGGGGCAGAGCCGAACGGAGATAGCCGGACCCGGATGAGACGTTCCTCCTGTCACCATATTGTTCGCGCTGCGCCAGCACGTGCTCACGCAGTCGCGAGTAGGTGCGTTCTCCCTGCTCACTGATGGCTCTAGAGCGAAAGCTTCATCAGAACCCCACGCGTCCCCCATTGACGTCACAGCGCACGTGACTCAGAAGATTGTGAAGGAGTTGAGAGGTGCCGAAAACCTCAACCTTTGTCAATTTAAAAAAAAAACAAAAAAACATGGACTTGCAAACAAAAGCGTTTTTTTGTTCTTTACTTCAAAAAAATCGAGACACCAAATCCGAAATTATTTAAGTAAAGCACTGAAATTGTTGCACAGTTCCTTTAAAGGATACTGCAACGACATTTCGGCGCTTATTTCTTGGTCTATTCGTGTTCAAGGGAGCGGCATCACATCAAGCACACCAAACTCTTGTTAAAAAAGACACGAAAGGGAATTTTAAAACGAATTATTTGATTAGCAAAGAGCACCTGGTGGATGTGGCTAAAGCCTCGTTTGCAATGCCCGTCTAGGAATTTTGACAGGTAGTGACGATAACTGTCTCGCCTCCGGCCACCACGAGAGAAGAGGGGAAGGAGGAACTTTTCTCTTACCAGGACTCTCTTTTGTGCGTCCCAGACGTCGCTACTGTCCTTCCACAAGATAAAAGAAGATTAACCCATCACTCAAAATTCGTGCAAAAGCAGCTTTGGGGTTCGTTGCAGTGGCCGGTCGCTGACGTGCTTCGGCCACTTCGGCGGCTGGAACGGCTAGGATATCCTGTTGACGTCAGCCTCGCCGCAGTTCTGCTCGTCCTGAGACAATCTACGTCACTATAGCGCCGGATGTCACGTGGCTGCTCTCCAAATACTTGCCAGAGCAGGCCGTTGTTAACGAAAAATACAGCCAGTAGGCTCAAAATACAAACGTGCGATTGTCATTTACGGATATTGGGGATCATATTCAGCCTGTTTCTGAACACGCCGGATATGTAGAGCGTTTTTTCGTGCTTCTTCATGAATGAGCTTCCAAGCATCCTTTTCCCACCATCGAACGTCTTTCAATCACTTCGGAACGTGGTTTACTGCCAAGGAGGTTATAAGTACTAGGAGGGGGCACGTTGCAATATTGGTGAAGCCTAGTCATAAAAAGTTTAAACGATGTTGTGGCCAAGATGACCGTAGATCTCTCTTGCAATTGGTGCGCGTGAAATGTCACGTGTGGGATGGATGGTTGATTGTAAAAGGATTCCTTGCAGGGTTGCGCGCGCTCCGTCCGGTAGGTTTTACCCGATCATAAGCTCTAGGGCTCTCAAGCACGCGGCACGCGGGCCGCATGCGGCCCGCGACTCGATGGGACGCGACCCACAGGCAACAGGCTCCGAGTCCCAGTTCCCATGTCTCGAGCGCTAAAAATGGCATGCGCCATAGTGATCTCATCTCGTCGATTCAGTTTCGCTCGAAAAGTAGCTCTTGTCTTTTGACCTTCTCACATAGATTATACTCATCTGCGTTCATTTTCCCTTTGTTTCGCTTTATTTTGAGCTTCACAGCTTTTTTTTTAATGTACAACAATACCACTACTATAGGCTGCAAGCGTGAACTCCTTGTTAAAGAATGCATCTCGACTGCGCGAACTCTCGTTCAGCAGGAGCAACTGCCAAAGATAAAGCTGCGAGCTCGGGATCCTCGCCATCAAGAAACATTACCATGAATAGACAAGTATTTTTTTTTCTTCGAAGTGTTGTAATAAAATCGTCAGAAAAGCAAGAATTGTCTATTAACTGATTGCTTTTTAAAGGCATGTTGGGCTTGCTTAAATCCCGAGCGAAGTGAGCAACGGGAACGACAGCGTACTTGCTCTCTTGTTATATTAAAAATGCCAGCACTTTGGCGGAGCGGTGTCATATTGATTATTGCTACCACATCAGGTAGGGACACAAAGCAGCCATGCAAACAAATCAAATCTAAAGATGTCACTAGCAGAACTGAGTTTATAAACATCATAAAGCACGAGGTATCTTCTTTTTTAAACCTTTTGAACCCTTCCCTTCCTCCCCCTCCCTCACTTAACGTTGGCCCTCGGCGTTTCTAGTGCGGACTATCGGGCCCCCACACTCAAATGAGTTTGAGACCACTGGGCTAGACGATCGGTAAGCTACGGTCTCGTGATGTGGTCACGTTGGCCTGATAAGTGAGGAGAGTAAGGAGGAAAATGAGAAAGAGGCGAGGCGTCAAGGGAGCATGGCTTGTGGAGACTACGCGGCTGACGCCATGCCCTCTCCTACCCTCCTATGCTCCTTGTTTACTGCACACTTCGTACCATTTCTGTCGTCATACTTCAGTGCTGCCAAGGGGCTCTCGGTTTAAGAAAATTCAATAACTTCGGGAATCTTTTTTTTTTTTTTCTTTTTCAGACAATACTTG